TGGACCCAAGGCCACAATTGGCCAGTTTTGCCAAGAGGTGATCATGGGATACCAGATGGAAGGTTTTTTTGAAGTCAAGATATATGACATCAATCTCTTCTCCCTTGTCCAGGTGAAAGGTCACCTGGTCATAAAAGCAAATGAGATTGGTCAGGCAAGACCTACCCGCAACAAACCCACGCTGGCTATCCCTCAGGATGTTGGCGTTGGCCAGTCCATCAAGGATGGCCTCTTTAATAAACTTTTCTAAGACCTTCCCCAAGATAGGCCCATCAGCCTGACCCCTATAGTTTTCCGGATCCACTTTCCTCCCTTTCTTGAAGATAGGCACCACATTGGCCTTCTTCCAGTCTTCGGGCACTACACCAGAGCACCAGGAGCTCTCAAAGATCCATGCCAGGGGCTGAGCTATGATGCTCGCCAGCTCCTTGAGTACCCTTGGGTGTAGATTGTCAGGGCCTGCTGACTTGAAGGTCTCCAGCCTCTCAAGGTGTTCCTTCATGAGGTCAGCATTGATGGAGGGCAGGGGATCTACATCTGAAAAAGAACTTTTTATTGTCCTTGATACTCGAAGCTAGTTGGAGTTCAGTTGCAGCCTTGACTTTCCTGGTTTGCTCCCTGCAGGACTGGACCAGTGCAGAATATTTCTTCTTGGTTGTGAACCCCATCCTCCATCCTTTGTAGGCCTTTTTTAGCCTCAGGAGATCTGCTAGATCCCTGAAGAGCCACCTGCAGGACTGGACCAGTGCAGAATATTTCTTCTTGGTTGTGAACCCCATCCTCCATCCTTTGTAGGCCTTTTTTAGCCTCAGGAGATCTGCTAGATCCCTGAAGAGCCAGGGGGGCTGCTGTGCCCTCTTGCTGCCTTTCCTCCGAGATGGAATAGAATTAGCTTGTGCATCAAGGATCGCTCCCTTGAGGAGCAACCACTCTTCCTGAACTCCCCTCCCCCTGGGGTTGTGGTCCCTTAGGGCCTTTGTTTACATTTGTTACCTTTTTATGTCTAATTAACATTTTGGAGAGAAAAATGTAGGTACAAATTCAGTATTTCAAGCCATTCATTAAGGTGTGAGGGCAGAATACTTGGCGATCCAAAATAAGCCCAAAAAATGAAAAAAGAGAGGTCTCCCAGCAGAAGTAGTATAGACTAGACCTGACATTCCCCAATACTTCTAAGGTAAAGAAAACCCCGAATTACCCTTGCTTTTTAAGTGTTTAAAAAAGCAAATAGCTCCCCTTTCCCCCACCCCCTATTTTTTTTTTTTTATTCTTTGCATGCGACTTTTAAAAATACTTTTACTGCCATTAAAGTAGATCTGGTCAGCTTCTGGGAGACCTGAAGGAATGAGTCACATTCACTCTGAAGGAGCTCAGTTTAACAATCGTATCTCTGAAGAAGGTCAGTCCCTATTTGCAAAGGCATATAATCACAGAAAAGTTTGCGTAGACTGCCCAGTCTGATCCCCCACAGAATAAAACTAACTATAACACTCTAATTTCTTATCTAACTTGTTCTGAAACAAGCATGCCTTTGATGGTCATCTAAGCAGTGTAATCGTCTTAGTGAATATTTTTCCTCCAGCTAAAGGCAAGTAAACAACATTAATTCAACATTAAGAGTACATCCATAGATCAAGGAACAAATACATTAAAGTTGGATTCACACCCTTAATTCTATTGTTTGGCATGCATGCGTAGTCATATAAATCTTTAAAATGAAATTGTCCAATATTTCTAAGACCGACCAGCATTTTATTGGATTTGTTTGCTTGTTGTTTTTGTACAATCATTAGTAAATAGGTAGCATGTACCTATAGAAAAATGATCAGATAGCTAGAGACTCTGTCAGTGAATGAGTTCAAGAAAGTAGAAGTTAGGGGAAGCATTCAAACAAAGTTTTTCCAGGTTTTTGGCTTAAGTGTGCAGTCATGTAGGTTCCCTCCCACCATACAATTTCTAAGCATCCCCTTCTTTTTTGAAAGGAAAATATCTCCAGATCAACAACACATCCGAAAGACAACGGCAGCAGGTCCCTAGAAATATTCTTAGTAAACTGTGCTCTTGCAAACCAAGTGTTTATTTCCATACCTGGGCGTTTACCTTAGACACTTCAAGAAAAAACATACAACATCATAAATACCTATTATTGCCCTGGCTATTTCTCAATACTCATGGTTTTCCTTTTTTTTCTTTAATTCATGGCAACCTCACTGAGACTTAAGTTACCTCCTAACCCACTAAAAGATTAGCATTGTTGTTTACTCATTCCAAGGCTGTTCCTGTTACACCCACTTCCTATGGAGTCACGCTGATGGATTAACAGCTATGCTGTGTAACACAGAGAACACGTTGCAAAACAGTACAATAATTAGCATCTTTAGAGGTGCCCTCCAAAAACACATCCTCATTTAATAAAGTACTACCTACACATCCCTTAGTAACCAAACTGAAGCTGACTCACTCTGGAGGTGTCTTCCCTGCAGAGTTCACCCATCCACACAAAAGTACCCTCTCACCTGACCTTGGTGGCGCTTTTTAAAATGAAAATGTGGTTTAGACCTCAGAGGCTGCTTTCACTGGCCCGCAACCCTGCCACTTTGCAACCTTCCCACAGATACAAACTAAATCATTTCAGTGCTGACAGTTCTTCAATGCCTTCCCCACAGTCCCTTCTGGATACCTAGAAAGATGAACAGGTCCCCCGCCCAAATTCACTGGAAAGAAAAGGACTCAAAGCAGCTCCTGTGGCACGTGGCAAGTGCAGCAGGACTGAAGTCCCATAACGCAGGTATAACTGCTTTGTAACTACTCTTATCCATATCCATAGGAAGCAGGCTGACTCCATTCAGGGTAATTCTGAACCCTACAAGAGGAGCGCTGGCTTGTTCTTAATGTGATAAGGAAAAGGAGAAGGGAAAGAAAATTGGGCTGCCCTTTTTTCTTTAAGTTATATATATTTCTCCATGAAAGACCAAAATGAGGCACCACAATACCTAAATCTATAGTTCTTGAAAGGAAGGGAATATGCCGGGTGCCTGGGTCGTGAATTTATGGCCTCTACTGATGCTTTGGATATAACCTTGCTGAAAAGGAGAACCAGTGAATCAGCATGCCAAATATGCGCTCTGAACTCTGTCACAAGCCATGTCAGAGATGGAAAACTCCTTTGAACACTTGTGTAGCTCCCCCTCCCAAATTTATTCAAGATACGGGCAGAGGACCAGAATTTCTCCATAAAGGGCGCACCTAATGTTAAAGGTCATCAACCGAAGCAGCATACCTAGTAACAAAAAGCCAAGTAGCAGCTTGCCAGGCTAAAGGCTATGACTTGATTTGGTCATAGTAAAGCTGATACAAGTGGTCTGAAGAGTTTTAAGTGCCTCTTTGGGTATGTGGCAGCTGGTCACAGCACTTGAACAAGGATGCTGCTGAGCCCCAAAGCCCCAGGGAAAGCTAGGGTATATACTGCCATTTAGGACAAAATCCAACCCCTCCACTCCCAAGCTGCACCATTCCCTTCTATTAAAGCATATAAGCAGGTTTGTAAGGTCCTCCATAAGGGTGGGAACAAAGGAACCCCTTAGGGGTGACACATTTTTAAGAGTGCACAAGGGAGCAGTCACCAGTTTCCTAGCTGTAACTGTGGTTGCCTTTGGTTTGAGAGCAAAGGGATGGGTTCCTTGCAGTCTTCTCCACCCACAAAGCTCAGGCCCACTAGGGTGAGGGGAAAATCTGGCCTTTTTAGTATTTTCCTACAGAGACACAAGAAACTGTTTAATTTTTTCCCCCGGACGTTTCTAATGAGAAACAAATGTTCAAATCAAAGAATACTCTATGTCCATTTT